TATTCCACCACCTCGTGTGCACCACAAAATCACTTCCTAGTCTTTACTTGCTAACACCTACCCGGGAGGTCTCTGGGCGTGCGGGACCGCGCTGCTCTCTCCCACCACCACCACGACAGCGGAGAGCACCTTCCCCTTTTACCAAATACATGTAAAAACCGGTCTGCTAAAGGAAGGGACTGCAACATATGTATGCGAGCACTAAACCCAGGAGCTTAGAGATCATCCCTAATGCTGTACAGAATAAGGATAGCGGTTCGGTTTAGCGGCTCCCCGATCCGGATACAAGCTCACGGAGGAAGGTGCGCTTCCCCCGTAGCCACAAATGAAGGAGTTGCTTGTTTCCCTGCTTTGCTCATGAATTTTCTTCCCTTGCCACACGTCTACCCCCTGTATAATCAATTTGTGGGCAAAGCCGGGTTTCTGCAGGACGATCAGGCCTCCTTCTCTGATAAAACAACCACATCAGGGTGTACGAGCGGGATGCAAAGCCCGAGTGCTGTGGGACGGGACGGCAGGAGAGGGGCTCTCCCCGCCAGGAGCTGAGCAGACGAACGCCAGGACTGTGATAATCCCGCCTGATCCCAGGTTGGAGCAGGAGCCTTTCGAGGGGTTTTCCTCCTCTGAAGCCCTTCTCCACGAAGGCACGGTGATTTCAAGAGATAGTGACTATTCCAACCCAGCTCTCTGGCCCTGAAGGGACCTACAGAGAGGAAGACCATGGTACGAGCTACTGCTTACACCGCCCTTTAACACCACCGCTGCACTGGTAAATAAACCGAGCGCTTATCTTATTTTCTAAATTAATGTGCTCAAGCGTGTCGTTACAACGTACACAGGAAACGCTTTGATCTAAAAAGATAAGTGAGATCAGTACGTATAAAGTAGCAGCTTAATGAGCTTTAAAACAAAATAATTAAAATAGGTCCATCGCATTGTTATAACACAATACAGCTTCGCAGGAGCGGAACATCAGAGCCCACCGCTCTGCCCGCCAAGATAACCGCATCAATGGGAAATACTACCACTGTGGAAAATACCCAATGAGAAAATATCATCTAATGGGATTTTTTAATGACGATCTCCCAAAGAGCTCCACTGTCCCAGGAGTGAAGACAAGCATTGACCCCACTGGAAATGCCCAAATGACTGGCAGAGGGCCTAGCTGTCCCCTTCCCGCAGCGAGGATGGATGTCCGTACGGGGCTGTCCGGTGCCCCGGGAAACGCAACCGACTTGGGTCTTAATTCTGGCACTGTGGTCTCCTGGAAGAGTTGCTCTCAATTCACGCCGGAGTAACTGAGATCCAAACCTGGGTTTCTCCTGGGAAGTCCCCGGCAGCCCAGGGATGCACAGCCTGCCCTGAAACCTCAGCAGCCGTACATGGGAAAGTATAAAGAATTTCAAAAGATCCAGTAACTCTTATAGAAATGGAGAAGATGAGAGAAAGCAAGCCTCTAAAAGCAGACAGATAGACAGATGGCTTTTATGGAACAAGAAATACGATTTAAAAAAAAAATTAGAAGCAGCAGAGCACTCTTTGAAGGTGTGAAACATCAATAGGAAAGCCTGAAGAAAGCAAAGGCATGAGAGCTGGGGCGTGAGGGAGGGGAGCACAGCGCAGGGCATCGCATCGCCCGGCCGAGGCTCCGGCGTGGTGCCGGGGAGTTCCTGGCCCTCACGGTCCTGCTCCCGAGCCAGGCGCCGGGGCTCTGCCCAGCCCCGCAGCAGGGACATCCCACTGCTGGAGAAGGCTCACAGCTTGACACGCTTCATGGGGAAAAGAGAACAGCCCAAAAAGATGGAGAAAAAGCCAAACCAAAATAGAAAGCAAAGGCAGCGAGAATGAAATCCGTGGCAAAGACTCCTGATCCTTTCATACAGAGGTTTAAATCCCCTTTTAGTACCGATCAATTTCTTTTCCACGGAGAAGAGCAGTTCTCCCTGCCACGGCCACCTCATCACGTGTACAGCATCCGAGCAGCTCGCAGGCTCTCCCGCTCCGGCAGCCGCAGGAGCGAAATCCTGCCGGATCAAGGTGAACATGAGTCACCAGAGGCACTCTGAGCGCCTAGAAGACACTGTGCTGTTTGTGGGCACGCACCCTCTGGAGCCTAATTGCCAGTGAGTCAGATATCGCTGTGCTTTGCATGCCATTAAAAAAAAAAAAAAAAAGTCCCCTTTGCGGGAGCGATTAAACTTTTCAGAGCCTTATCTCCAAAAGAGAGACGAGGCAGATCGGCGGCGACAGGAGACCTCCCGCATCCCTCACTGCTTTTCACAAACCTCTGCAATTTATTGCATCTCCCACGGTATCTTGGCTTCTTGCAAACACCCCCCGTGCCGGGTCCGCCTGCCGGCAGCCTCGCGCTGTGCAGGTCCGGACCTCTGGGAGGACAAAAGGGAAGAACACGGAAACACATCCCTTCCCACTGGACGCCTGAGTGGAACATCCCCAAGGAACTGCCCATAAGAAACGATTCCAACCTCATCCATCAAAATTAGCAAAATTGATTTTGCCAGGCAATATGTCACTTTGACAGGAACCCAGAATAAGTCCTGAATATTTCACGTCGGAGGCCACTAAATGAGTAGAGAGCCTCTTACGAAGCCAAGAAACAAGAAGATGAGTAACTCATCCTCATCCTTCCCAGAGAAAACTTAATAAGAAAACCCACAAAAGGCAACTACTTGTGGAAAATGGGTTTATTCTTCTCGGGAGCTCTTTCTAAAATAGCGCTTGCCAGCATCTGAAATGGCAATGCTTTCCCTGTGTGACGCCCAGCTGCTGCGGGCTCAGCCGGACTTCGGCTTCTGCCGGGGAGAGGCAGAGCCCGACCGTGCTCCCGGCGGGAAGCACGGCCACTAATCACCCACGTTTCGGTGGGTACTTAAGTGGATGTCCTAATCCATGTCAATTAACTGACGCTTCATTACTCGAGTCCTGCGGACGGTGGCGGAGATGCTATTGCAAGCACCGGCAGCAGGGCTGGGGTCATGCACCGGACCCCAGCAATTCAAGGAACGCGTCCCCGAGGAAGCCGGGTGTGCGGCGGGCTCGGCTCGCCGGGCAGGGGGAACCCGGGCTCCCCCACGACCTTGCCACGTCTTTAACCTGAATGACACGCAGTCAAATGGCAACGTCAATTAGCGCCGTTTGCTCTTAACGGAGCCTCAAGCGCTGTCTGCTGAGCAAGGAGCCCTCAGCCCTCCCACGCTGAGCCACAAAAGCTTTGCGCAGTTACCAAGCCAGCGTTACGCAGCCACTTTTGCTGTTTACAGGGCCATAAACCATGGCTGGAGCGGGTGTCACAGGGAGATTCTCCTGAACATCCCGGGATGCTGCAGAAAGGGAGGCACAGCCAAAGCCCCTTGTGGACGGGAGCAACCGATCCCTGCGAGGTCGTAGTTGAGCTCCACAAAACCGCTCTCCGGCACGGAACAGTGCAGTCCCTTGCACAGCGTGTGCTGCTCTGCCGGTGTCCCGGGCACGTGGTCACCCCCCTCGCCACGGGTCCCTGTGTCAGCACGTCCCCATCCCCTCGCTTCTCTCGCGTTAGGGCAGGCGCACTCTGGCAGGCTCCAGTTGTTCCACCTCAAGGGTCCAGACTTGTACTTCTCTTGCAGGAAGCATGTCACCGCTCCCAGACTCCGTGTTGTTCTTGAAGTAGCTTTTGCTCAGCCTTTATTTGGAAGCCAGCAGAGTTTCCAGCGCTCGCACCCCAGCCAGGCCAAGGAAAGCTTCACCGCTCCCACCTCGCCACTTTGCAACAGTCAAGCCTCGTCCCATGGACAGCTTCACCTGGGGCTAAGAGCAGATTCGCAGCCGAGGCTCTGCCTCCCCTTGCTGCCAGCCATCTTCTTCATTAGGAACCGGCGAGCTGCTTTCGTTACCTGCTCCAGCCAGGGCTTCCCGCCCAACGCAGCGCCAGGGAACGGCTTTTGCTCCCCACAGCACCGTGCAGCATTGGGCAAGCTGGATGCTGCTGGAGTGCACCGGCAGCATCACTCGTCAGGACGCACCAGCAGCCACCAGCAGAATGGATGCAACGCTGCTGGGGATGCAACAACGCTTCCAGAAAAGCAGAGCTGCTGAGAAAGACCTTCAGAGCAAATTTAAACAAAAATCATCTCATGTTAAAGTATATCTCCTGCCTACACATCATTTCTAAGTCACAATGAGGCATTTTGCAGATTAGAGTTGAAAATGAACACTTTATGAATGACAAGCTTTATGTTTTTATATATATATATATATTTTTGAAGTCCATTTAATTTCTCCAGGACAGCCAGCAAAGGTGGAGGGCTGGGGAAGCCTCTGCCACTGAATTTTGGCGGGGCGCTGGCCCAAAGGCGGTCAGTAGTCTCGGACAGAAAACCAGAGCCAGGCTCAAAGGCTTCGCTGGGGACGTACGACCCGCTGCTCTGCTGGGAAGGACCTCGGGTGAGTTCCCGGCAGGTCCTTCGGCCTCCTGCCCCGGGGCGCTCAGCGCTCACTGACCCTGTCCCTGCTTATTTCCATGCAACTGCTCATCCACCTCCAGCCAAGCCAGATTTCTTTTCCTTTTATCGCTGTCGCTTGGTACCAGAAAGGCTGAATCACTCGGCACTGACGAGAGGACACATCCTCCTGCACTTGGGGTTACCGCTGCAGGTCTCCATCTTGCTCCATGAGCATTGCCGCAGCATTGCCCAGCTCTGCCGCCCGCGCCACGAGCAGCGTGGGCGCTTCGCCTCCAGCTTGGGCAACCAGCACAAGAAGCACCAGAGAGAGACGAAGCCTCGCCAGAAACGCCCATCGGTCCCCACTGTGTCCTCCGGCGTGGCTCCACGCAAAGGCATCCAACGCCATGCTGAAAGGTGGCTTTAGCACAGCTTCTACTCGCAGAGCCGCTGAGGCCAGAGAAAGGAATTGATAAACCCAGAAAGTAGTAGCAATTCAGCGGCAGACAAGACCTCATTTCACAAGGAATCCTCATAAAACCAAATTAATGTTGAAGGATGAAGGTAGGTAAACCTCCCACAGTTGAGTTCAGGCCACAGAGACTCAGTTTAAATCTCCCAGCAGTTCTGATTTAATCAATGCATTTCAAAGTGAAATTAGATGAAGTACATGTCCATCACAGGAAATTATGTAAGCTATTGAAGTCTGTAGGTGCAGGTCCCAGTAAGAAGAGCCACAGGAAATATTCATATCAACTCGAATTCCATTTTTAAGGAGGCAGTTCAGGTCCAGACTTTTATGTTATTCCAGTGAAAAAATTCACTCTGATGAAAACCGTGTACCCAAGGCGAAGAAGGGCCAAACGGCAGCTTCAGGAGCCTCCTCCAGGAAACCGGTGGCGGCTGCCGGGCTTGGCCGGGAGCCCCCTCCCAGCGGTACCATCCAGGGTGGGAAGGAAGGAAAAAACCCTTTGTTCTAAATGAGGGGGTGAAAGCGCTGATGAGGCCGCTCCATCCTCCCCGCTGATCCCACCCAACACACTGGGCTTCCAGGAGTTACCCCGCTAGAAGAGTTTTAGTCTCAAACTCAAACTCCGTTGGGCCTGAATTGCTGTAACCCATTTCGTCATCACCAGCCCTTAACGAGAATCACGGATATTGCAGCCCAGAGCAGAGCTGCTCCCGCTCCTCCAGCTCAGCATATTGATTCCCGTAATCTTTCCTCCCAGTCCTTCTCCTATTAGCTATATTTAAAAGCTTAAGCATGCATACATTTCCATAATGAACCTCAGACCTGTCGGAAGTCATATGGATTATTCACACCCTACGGAGCCGTTGTGCGAAGCCACTCTCAGTGCTCACCGCCGATCTATATGTACACATACATATAGATACAAACATAAATAAGCCGTGCCGGGAGACCTCGCGGATCAGACTTGGGTGAGGAAAGGTAGGAACAAGGTTATCGGGCCACCTGGAGAGCAGAGCTGGTCTACTTCGCTCTGGTACCGTTTACAGGCTGGGCTTTGAAGGAAAATTAGCAACTCCTTATTTTCAGCAGATGACTGTTACGTAAAGCAAACCCAAGCTGCGGCGCTCCGATGCCTGGAGCAGACGGGCCAGCAGCTCACACGTCCCGTGTCCCGCGTGCCGAAGGCAGGCAGGACGGCTGGCGACGTGGGGCAGCCCCTGAAGCATCCAGAGTGAGCGGCAGCTCCGCGCCCGCGGCGGTTCCCATCCGTCACCCTGCCAGAGACGCCACAAAGGCAACGCAGCGGCGATGGCTCCGGTGTTATTACAACAATTATTCATGCTCTGGGGAAGAGGCTGCTAAAGACCAGCGCCGCTCCCTTTGCCTCATCTGTGAAATTGCTGCCAGTTAGGAGGTACGAACCGCTGCATAAAAGTGCAGTTTACGCAAGCATTATTGTGGCTGTTAAGTATCATAGCCGGTGACACTAGATGAATTTCTGTGGCAATCAATTCACCTGGGAGCAGCCAGCTCAGCCCCTGTGTGGATGCGGGATGAGTAAGGACTCCTCAGCGGAGGCCATTAACTCCCACCGCTTACTGCTCTCATTACTTTCCAGACTGCAAGGCTTGCATCTTTGACGAGCGGCTGAATCTACATTTGACAGCATGAACTTGATGAGTGAAATTCATGGAATATGTTTGCTTTGGCAGTAACTACAAGGCCCATAAAGTTTCCTCAGTGCCAATGCGCCAGGATGTATGCTTTAATGAGTTGTTTTATACAATCGGGAAGAAATTGCAAACAGTATTTTTACTCATACTGCAAATCACTCTGGAGCTAAATGCTGTAAAAATCGTGGCATATTGTTTAAAATATTGTGTTTGTAGCTATGGAAGGGAAGTCCTCAGCCACAGCTAGAAGCCAGGCAGACGGCACGCTGCAGAAAGCTTTCGTGTCCTTACAGGCAGGCGCAGGCACTGACGCAGCCGCATGCACGCACGCACATGTTGGTGCACATTCAGGAGGCGACAGAGTAGCTGCCGTCCCCCCAAATAACAGACCTCTGCCCTGCAGTACCCACGCCCATGCCCACCACGCTGCGAAGGGCAGAGGGAAACTGGAGCATCCCCAGGATCGCGCAGGGGCTGTCAGGGGTAACGCTGCACACCCAGCCCGGCTCCTTGCAGTGGTCAGAACCGGGGGAGCAGCAAGCCCCCCTTCACAAAAGCAAGGGCAGAATAATTCCGAGTGATGCGGGTTTACAGGTCTTGCCCTCCTCAGCTTAAGAGCAAGGCTCGCCCTGCAAGGTCACGCAGCTGTCCCTGCCCCGGGGCGAAAGGAATCCGACTTGAAAGGAGCAATAAGGTACTATCTCCTGGCGGCGGGCAGCAGCTCCAGGCAGAGACTGCACAGGTGAAACGGGCACTGGAAAGGTCTACTGCTTCTCTTGGAGCTATTTTTCTAGCAGTATTCAAGAAAATGAGGGGAAATGACATGGGAAATGTCAGAAATAAAGCTAGAAGCAATTAGAGTTAGAGAGAAGCGAGAGCAGCAGGCAAGGTTAGCAGTAAAGTTATCTCTTATTAAAAATAAAACACGGAGGGACTGGAAGCTGATGAGGTGGTACAGAGGACAGCCCGGCACTGAGGATCCAGGATACACAGCAAAGAAATTCGCAAGGCAAATCGAGGAGAGGAGCGACCGGAAGGCTCCTGTTTTCATTGCTAAACTCTTCACAAAAATAAAAAAGCAGAGGGCGTCCTCTGTTTCCAAGATTACAGTCTTCTGCTGGTTCCAGCTTCAGGAAACAGCCCTCCAGCTCCGCCGGGCTTTTCATCTGCCACAGAATAAATCCAAATGCGAGGCACCCTGAAAAACACCTCAGGTGCTTTCCCTAGGAGTAATTCCTAAGGTCACTACATCACCGTAGACTCCCCGGAGACTCTGTCCTTCCCACCACGCAGCAGTGCATCCTCAGCGGACGGATGGACGGACGTCTCCAGCGGCAGCGTGAAGTGCTCACGTGCCCGAGCCATCAGGGTGTTTCGGACAGGGAGAGGGGATGAGGCCGGGGGGCATCAGGAGGTCGCTTGCCGCGTGCACCCGGAATATGCTGCACGGCACACCCGAGTGTAAAACAAAAGCCGAGGGCCTCCCCCAGCTCCTCGGCATAGACAAAACCTCAGTTCAAGTTTCACCCTCCAGAACTCCATCCAAAGCTTGGGAAGAGGGACAAAGCCTCCAGCGACTCCGAAGGGTGACGGACAAAGGCCTTTCGCATCACCTGCAGCCTGCCCGCGGCTCCCGCGGCGTTCAGGGGGTCCTGCCCACCTCGCCTCCTGCGCCCCGAAAGCAGCAGCCATGTTCTGCTGGAGCGCAGGGGCACGGGGAGCAGAGCGGGCTGATGGGCTCCCCTAGTTGCTGCGCGGGGTAGGGCTGGCGGCGGGGCCGCATCCATCCGCTCACCCCGCAGCTGTCCGGGGCGCCGAGTCCCGCTCCCCAGGGAGCGGTCGCAG